GAGAGAGAGAGAGAGAGACCGAGTGACAGAGAGACCGAGTGACAGAGAGAGAGAGAGAGAGACCGAGTGACAGAGAGAGAGAGAGAGAGAGAGAGAGAGAGAGAGAGAGAGAGAGAGAGAGTGACAGAGAGAGAGAGACCGAGAGAGAGACCGAGAGAGACCGAGAGAGAGAGAGAGAGAGAGAGAGAGAGAGAGAGAGAGAGAGAGGAGAGAGAGAGGAGAGAGAGAGAGAGAGAGAGAGAGAGAGAGAGAAAGAGAAAGAGAAAGAGAGAGAGAAAGACTGTGCCTGTTTACAGTCATACAAAGGCCTCCAGTGTGCTGGCAGAACAGGGAGGATGCCAGAAGATTCCTCCGGAGGTGTCGCTTGCCTGGGCAAACTCGACTAAAAGTTTAGTTTTTAGCGAAGTTTAATCTACTGCTCGATTAAACATTCACACCGTTGATTTAAAAAGTTCGGACACACTCAGATTCCACAATGCATCCACACACAGACCGTCATGTGTGTCCAAACATCATTTGCACAAATGGAGGTGCTGACACTGCCACTGTGTGTCAGGGTGTGTGTGTGTGTGTGTGTTTGTGTTGGTCGGGAGGGCTGGGAAAGATTTGCCATTAGGGAGAAGGATCCGACATTCCAGAACCCACTCATGGGCCGTGCGAAGACAACAGCTCATTCACACTCGACCCATTAGAAATTCACCACCACTGGAGCCCGGGGCCCAAAACAGCTCTATGGTTGACGACGCCACACTGTTTGGGTCTGTAAATGTCATATCTTTTCTAGGCAAGTGTTAGCGCCTAAGTTTGCATCTGGTAAACGTCTTTCCTGGCATTCTGGGATAGCAAATATACTAAACAAAGCATCATTTTGCACTATACCTCGAGCTGTGGCCAGTTCATGCTCATGCGGGCCCGTGGGTGTTCCTCCACCACCTGAGGTCCTCCGTGTCACTCGCTGCGGTGATGGTCTGGCCGAGGTCTCGGTACAGGGCTTTGAATCTGCATGGGGATTTTCCACATACTCAGAACAGGTTTTATTTGTGCACAAGGAAGTGTATGTTAAAAAATACAGGTTACACCAACTTTAATCGATGGTGCTTGCCAAGACAAACATCCCTATTACAAATGCTTGTATTTTTAAAACACATAGTAAGTACAATTATTTATATAGCACATTTAAACACAGCAAAGCTGACCAAAGTGCTGAACAGAGTAAACAGAATAAAAAAATAAAAAAAAACAGCGAGACAATAAAACAATACTAAAATAATAATAAAGCGTCTGGGAGAAGATATATGTTTTCAAGCTCTTTTTAAAAATGATAATAAAAGGGGCGAGGCGAGGGACATACAATAGAAACCTATCTGAAGATCTGCTAGATGAATGTGGAATTAGAAGATGTTTGAGATAAGGAGGAGCTTGATCATTAAGAGCTTTAAAAACACAACTGAATTATAAACTGGACCAGGAGCCAATGGAGCGATGCTAAAATAGGGGTGACATGCTCATATTTCTTTGCCCTGGTCATTTTGAAGAACCATCTGGAGACGAGCGAGAGATGGCTGAGGAAGACCCAAGTACTAAGAATTACAATTGTACAACACAGAGAAATATATTGTGACGTGTAACGCATCCTGCACAGTGTTAAACTTTTGGGGAGTATAAAGGGACAACTTTTTACCTTATCTACCCCTAAAAGGTGCATACTAGTACTTAAATGGGTAATTCACAGCTGACGAGACGGGCTTTTACTCAAAAATTGGTGCTACATGACTAGAGAAAAGAGAAAAAGAGCTGTGTTGTTCCCTTTAGCCAAAAACGTCCACACACAAAATGCGCTTTTGATTAAATCAATCTGACGGTTCGTTCAATCTGTAGTTTTAACAAAAGCCCTGGAGCTGTCAAAATTCTGCAGGATCCAGTGGGCTTTCTTCCTGACAAATATAAACGCGAATATCTGGGATCAGGAAAGAGTACACTATTTATATAGTAATAATTTATTAGGGTTATTGTACTTTAACTCCAGTATTTGATCGGTTTACTTTGTTCACCGCCGGTCCTCCTTAGTATAAGTACTTGTTTTCAATTTTTCTTGAGTAAAAGTACTTGATACGTAATGTTATTAACTAATTTAGTCGATGGACCACGTTTATTATTTATTCGAACTAAATCATAATTAACTAAATCATACATTTAAGAAAAACTAAATCGTAATTTAAACTAAATCATAATTTAAGAAAAAGGTAAATACAATAAATGTTTAAATATGTGGAGACAAATAGTAAAAAAATGCAATGTACAGATCATGTCACATGGGCAAAATGCTTTAACAGGAAGGTTATGTAAATATACTAGTTATATATCATTTCCAGCAGGAGGATGATGTTAATTTGTGTTATTCTTCCTAAGATTCATGCATTTCAGTTAAATTAAACAGCTCTCCCTTTTACAGCAGATTTAGTTCCACAAATTACTCAGTCATGATTTCAATTTACAATAATGAAAACTACCTACAATAATCATCAGTTGCACACACTCAATCTCTGATATCCTGGTTCTTGGCTCATTTTGAGTCATTCTGAACGACTCATTGAATCAATGAGTCAATCATATCAGTCCGATTCCCAAATGAATCATTCAGGGCTGCATTTCCCAAAAGCATCGTGAGATAAGTTGATTGTAGGGAACGTTTATGGCTTTGGGGAAACGCAGAACAGTGCGATTCGTGATCCGCTTCAACAGGTTCGTTGAAAAGAATCAGCTCTTTCAAGAATTGGACATCGATTTTTTTCAATTCAAAATAACGAGGAATGAATGATGTGTTTGCAATGGAGTAAAAAGTATGATATTATGCTTAGGAATGTAGTGAAGTAAAAGTTTCCCAAAACAAAAATACTAAGGGTGTAACGATACCCTCATGTCACGATACAATATTATTGCGATACTCCAATATGGTAAAGGATATCAAACAATGTACTGTCGATTAAAGGGCTAAATTTGGGTTTGGAAATGAATAGGCTTGGACTTGGTGCTGATAACCCAATGCACAGGACAAGTAAGTACAGTAACGAAATAAATAAAGATACAAAGCTGGTTGAAAATTGGTGGACTTATCCTTAACCCTCTGGGGTTCTTCGGGTCAAAAATGACCCGAAGCATTTAAATAAAAAAATGTTAAAAATCGTAGCTTCATCGGAATGGTCCAAAACTTGGTGACTTTTTTGGTACTTGGTATATGAACACCCAAAAAAATTGGGGACAGGATTTAAAAAGTCTAAGTGGTCGAAAAAAAAAAAAAGTCACACTCAGGGTCTTCGGGTCTAAAATGACCCGCATAGGAAATAATGGGAAATTGGCAAAAATATGAAAATACAGAGTTTTTTTGTGCATACAAACTACCAAACAGCCAGGATGCAGAAAAAAAGCACACAACAGTGAAGGGGTGAATCTCTTAAAACAATGGGTGACAAAATGCTTTCCATTTGTTCTCTTTATAATGCAATGTTCAGGTTTGAATGTATGATAAAGTAAAACTGCCACTTCAAATTACCATTTAAACCAACCAAAAATTATTATTTTTTTTTTTTAAATGACAAAAATTGTCTTTGAGAATCTGTTATTATATATTCAAATCAACAACCTGAAAAAAATTAAACAATGTGAAAAAATCACTAGAGTGTTTCTACCATAGGTTTCTACAGAGAGCTGTAAATCCACTAGTGGTAAAAATGTGCTATTGCGTGATAAAAATGCTCAGTGTGTCCACCAGATGGCTCCGATCTCATTTCAAAAATTGCTTTCATGAGGCCTAGACTTGACTCTTAAAATGAAAAAATGGGTCTTAATTATTGCATAAATATTAATTATAAATCATAAAATTATCTCAAAACACCAAAAAAGAAAAGAAAAAATATTATTGAACAAAAATATATTTCATTGATTTTACTCAAATTAAATGTATCTTAATGCCGCCCTCCGGGTAATTTTTGACCCGAAGGTCCTGAGTGTGAGTCTAAAATGAAGAACCCCAGAGGGTTAAGGTACTACTACTACTAGACTCCTGTCGACAACTTTTGTTTAGCCAAGCACCGCTCACATTTTCTTCAAATCTAGTTCTTTTGTCAAAGTTTATTTCGTAACCACTGCTACCAGAACAAAAGGGCCAGGAAACATCAAGTACCATGGAAATTCAAAGAATGAGGGAGGGATAAAGTAAACAGAAAGATTCCTGTACATGAAACTATCCTATACTATTAACACACAGCTCAGCACCAGCCCTGTAATTACAGCTCAACAAAACTGCAGAGACAGGTTTGAAGGGTGTTGTTTTTGTTGAACATGTAACTCCACGCTGATTGAGCGAACACCGAAAACGCAAAATGAAAGGAGCTATTTGCTCATTGGTTAAAAAACAAAAAAGGCACTTGCACTAGCTTGTAGCTCTTTTGAAACGACCCTGGTTAATGGTCAACGACATGCTCCGAATTCCTCATTAAGTAAACAAAATGACAGCAGAGAGCACGGAAAAAACAAATACACACTTATTAATGGTTAACGTTCTTCATTTATTTCAGTTCTCAGCTATGAGACACATAAATGACCAGAAACTATTTCAAGAGCCTAAGGATATTGATATGGCCTTTATAAATGAGGACTTGACATTGAGTGGGTTTAAGTCAGAGCTCCCCATTTCTCTCATGTCGGTTTTCATTGCACAACCCCACATCTGTGCCTGTCAGTCTCTCCGCTTCAAACTCTAATGAGTCCCTGACCCGGGTCATTCATCTATTCCGGCACCAAGGCTGTTAGAAACAGTTGAATACCACATTTTGCTGCGTTTTAAGATATTCCAAATCTTCATGGATATAATCAGTTTAAATAAACTAGCAATGTCACTTTTGACTACATCATTCCATTCAATACCTAAAAGTACCATATAAAGTATTAATTCTAGGGATGCACGATATAGGATTTTGGCCGATATTCGATATGCCGATATTTTCAAACTAATTTTGCCCGATGCCGATACCGATATATATTTGTATTTTTTTTAAGTGCAAAAAAAGCTCATTAAAGATCTATTAAAGTTCTCAGTCAAGAGCAGTGAGTGATTTCCTCTGTGTTTTGTTGTTTTATTAACATTAACGGGATAGTTCTCCCAAAAATTTTAATTGTCATCATTTACTCTCTCAAGTTTCTTTCTTCTGTTGAAATTATAAAAGTTATTTGGAAGAATGTGGCTAACCAAACAGTTGCTGTACTCCAGTGACTTCCATATATTTAAGCACAAGAAATAAATGAATCCAGGTTTGGAACAACATTAGAGTGAGTAAATAATAACAGAATTTTTATTTCTGGGTGCAGTATCTCTTTAAGGACAAGCCGCAGCATATTATAGATACTGTCTCTTTAAGAGCTGCACGCGACGCGTCTAATATACACACATTTGACAAGCAGATTTTCTCTGTTTGCTTTCACTTTAGACATAACCAACTTTGTTTATGTAAACCTTGTGTGTATTTGACAGTATCAGCGCAATAAGACTCGAAAGATTAGTCCAGTATGCAGGCGCTGTGACGGCTTTAGTTCCTGTGAGCGTCGGGTGTAACGCGCTCAGAAAAGCGGATGTTAGAACAGCGCATCAGCACGTGAATGACAGGTTTAGCTAGCAAGACTTTGACGCACATGCAAATAATGAACTTTTGTGAATTGCAGTGTCCCGTGAGTGTAACTCTACCTCTGCGTTTACATGTGATGTGAATGTACGTCGCGTTGTACAGTATGTTGAGATGAAGGCGCCAGAATTGAACTGATAGAATGCACAATACTATGATTTTTCTTCAAAAGCAGATCGTGGAGACATTTTAATCGTCCACGATCAACAACCGTGAGACGCACACCCCTAGCTGGAAGTTTAAGTTGCTGGCGCTCATGCTTCATTCACGGTCGTCAAGTGCATATAGGAAACACGCCACCCTATCGGCAAGGCTCATCGGCAG